AGGTTCGAGTTGTCCACGCACCCAACCAAAAAAAGTTGTGTGCTTGTCAACACTGCGTCACCCACAACCTTGCCCACTCAACACGCTGTACAACACGCCTTTGTCCTTTAGATCTACGAGGACAACATTCGCAAGAACCGCGGTAATGTTGGCAACTGGATCAAATACGCCCTTTGGGAAGAGTCCCAGGGCGAAATCGAGCGGTACGCTGACCCTGTGTGCAAGTACATGTGGGTGTGGGTGTGTACATGTGAGTGTGTGTGTGTGTGTGTCGTGTGTGCGTCGTGTGTGCGTCGTGTGTGTGTATGTGTGTTGTGTGCCAGGACCCGTTTTCGTCACTGCCGCTTCTCGCCACTGTTGTTTGTCCTTCGTTGTCTTATCTGATTGCATCTTCCTCTGCACCTTTTGCTTCCACACTCCCAATCACACCGCAACAAACAACACGACAATAATCACTACAACAACCCATACCGCCCACCTGCAGTGCTCGCTCCGTGTTTGAGCGCGGGCTGGACGCGGACCACCGCGCATCGGCGCTGTGGATCAAATACGCTGAGATGGAGATGAAGCACCGACAGGTCAACCACGCCCGAAACATCTACGACCGCGCCGTCACCATCCTGCCCCGCGTCGATACATTCTGGTCAGTTGGCGCTGAGTCTTGCACGCTTGAAAGAACAAAAAAGAACAAAGGGAACCCCTTTGCGCCACACACGCACACACACACACACACACACACACACACTCACTCACACACTCACTCACACACTCACTCACACACACACACACACACACACACACACACTCACTCACTCACACTCACTCACTCACACTCACTCACTCACTCACTCACTCACACTCACTCACTCACTCACTCACTCCCCCCGTTCTCCCCGACAGGTACAAGTACACGTACATGGAGGAGAAGATTGAGAACATTGCTGGTGCGCGGGCCATCTTCGAGCGGTGGATGGAGTGGCACCCCGTGGAACAGGCCTGGAACTCGTACATCAACATGGAGCTCAGATACAACCAAGTCGAGAACGTGCGTGCACGGTTGCGTCGTGCTCTGCTGCTGTCGTGTTACCCTTCCCCTTCACTACGCACACATGCAACTTATACACGAACTCACTCGCGCTACAACACTTGCACACACACTCTCTCTCACGCACACACGCACACACACACACACTCTCTCTCTCTCACACTCTCACTCACTCCCTCTCCCTCTCACTCTCTCTCACTCTCATGCACACACACATTCACGAACGATCGCCCACCGTGCAGGCGCGTGCGGTGTACGAGCGGTACATCCTGTGCCACATGGAGCCCGCGGTGTGGATCAAGTACGCCAAGTTTGAGGTCAAGTACGGAGAGATTGACAAGGCCCGCAGCGTGTACGAGCGCGCGGTGGAGTTCTTTGGCGAAGACAACATCAGCCCAGAGCTCCTCGTCAGCTTCGCCCAGTTTGAGGAGAGGCAGAAGGAGGTGAGCCAGGTGCTCTGATGTGATTATATAGCTCCGTGTTTCTGTGTCTGTGTGCGTCAGTGGCTGTCACTGTGTATGTGTATGTGTTTGTGTATGTGTGTATGTCAGTGGCTGTAACTGTGTCTGTGTTTGTGTCTGTATGTGTATGTGTCTGCGTCTACGTGTCGAGATGCACAAGCAGGTTTCTTCGGCCCTCTCCTCCTCTCCCTCTCATCCATCCCACGTCTCCCTCCCTCCCCCCCTTTGCGTCACTGCTGCACCCACCCACTCCCCCCCCCCAAACTCCTCAGTACGAGCGGGCGCGGACAATCTACAAGTACGGCCTTGACCGGATCCCGAAGGAGGCGGCGCGGGAGCTGTTTGACGCGTTCACGGCGTTTGAGAAGAAGTACGGCGACAGGAAGGGCGTCGACTCGGTCATCCTCAACAAGCGCCAGTTCCAATACGAGAAGGAGGTGCGGTCGTGGCGCTGGCGATTGGCCTGGGTTGTTGTTTGGACACCGCGTGTTGCCGTGCAACCTTGAAACGCGAATTGGGTTGTGCTGTGTTGTGTTGTGTTGTGCTGTGTTGTGTTGTGTTGTGTTGTGTTGTGTTGTGTTGTGTTGTGTTGTGCTGTGTTGTGTTGTGTTGTGTTGTGTTGTGTTGTGTTGTGTTGTGTTGTGTTGTGTTGTCCGTCTGCAACGTCCACCCGTCATCGCAACACTGTCCCTATTCCACTGCCCACCACTCATGATCGTTGTCACTCATTACGGCTCCTACTTCATACACTATGCACCCTCGCCCCCTTCCCCACGTCCTGCCATTTCTCCCCATCACCCCACCCCCCTCTCCTCCTCCGTCTGTCGATGTGATCAGGTGGAGGAGAACCCGCACAACTACGATGCGTGGTTCGACTACATCCGGCTTGCAGAGAGCAGCGGGGATGTGGACAAGGCGCGGGACGTGTACGAGCGCGCCATTGCCAACGTGCCGCTGGTGGCGGAGAAGCGGTACTGGCGGCGGTACATCTACCTCTGGATCTACTACGCCGTCTTTGAAGAGCTCGACGCAAAGGTCCGCGCACCAGGGGTGACAAGACCGACGGGGGATGGAGTGGGACGGAGATGGACAGGATGGAGAGGGGGTGTTCCTGGTGTTCCTGATGCGACACGCAACGGTTCACACATGCAAGCAAAGCACAACACTCACTCACTCACACACACACACACATACGCAATCCCACACACACACACACACACACACACACACACACACACACACACACACACACACACATACGCAATCCCACACACACAAAATCCCCCCTGCACACACACACGCACACAACAGGACATGGAGCGGACGCGGGCGGTGTACAAGGCGTGCATCGACCTCATCCCGCACAAGTCGTTCACGTTTGCAAAAATCTGGCTGCTCGCTGCCCAGTTTGAGATCAGGCAGAAGCGCATCTCAAGCGCCCGCAAGCTTTTGGTGCGAACGCATTTTGCTCATGCTTGCATACATACATTTGTCTTTGTATGTGTACGTGTGTGTTCTATGTCGTGTGTAACGTGATGTCCAAATGCGGTGCTGTTGGCGTTGTGCTCACCGTCCAACTTGACGGCGTCATGCCTTCAGGGCCGCGCCATCGGGATGTGCCCGAAGGACAAGCTCTTCAAGGGATACATTGAGATTGAACTCCAGGTACCACACGCACGCACTCACTCACACACACACACACTCACTGTCACGCACACATTCACTCACACACGCGCGCACTCACTCACTCACTGACGCACACTCACTCACTTACTTACTCACTCACACACACACTCACTGTCACGCACACATTCACTCACACACGCGCGCACTCACTCACTCACTCACTCACTCACTCACTCACTCACTCAAAACAGCTGCGGGAGTTTGACCGGTGCCGCACGCTGTACGACAAGTACCTCGAGTTCAACGCGAGCAACTGCCAGACGTGGACACGCTATGCGGAGCTGGAGACGGTGCTGGGCGATGAGGAGCGTGCACGCGGCATCTACGAGCTGGCCGTCGCGCAGCCGCTGTTGGACATGCCCGAGGTGCTGTGGAAGGCGTACATCGACTTTGAGCACGCGCTCGGGGAGACAGACCGGGTGCGGCTGCTGTATGACCGGCTGCTGGAGAAGACGAACCACGTCAAGGTCTGGATCTCGTATGCAGAGTTTGAGGCCGCCCAGGACGAGGAGGACAGCACTGCACACGCCCGACACGTAAGCAACGCGTACTTCCCCATGCTTGTTGTTCTCCTTGTTCTTGTTGTTCTTCTTGCTCTTGTTGTTCTCCTTGTTCTTGTTCTTATTCTTGTTGTTCTCGTTGTTCTTCTTGTCTCGTACACATCAATACATCCCCGCCCCCGCTTCTTCATTCACACCTGCTAACGAATGCGCCATACGCACGTCTCCTTTGCCCCCTCGCCCTCCCCTTGTTTTGTTTTGTGTCGGCGTCACGTCCTGACCAGATCTTCGAGCAAGCGCATCAGGAGCTGAGCAAAGGCGACGACAAACAACAGCGCAAGATGCTGCTGGATGCGTGGTTGTCCTTTGAGCGCAGCTGCGGTGCGGATTCGGAGGCGCAAAAGGTTGTGCGCATGCTGCCGCGTCAGGTCAAGAAGCGCCGCGAACTCGTCAACGAAGAGGGGGTACGCCGTGCACATAGACACGACCACATGCAAGCGCGTTGGCGACTGTCGTCCTTTGTGTGTGTGTGTGTGTGTGTGTGTGTGTGTGTGTGTGTGTGTGTGTGTGTGTGTGTGTGTGTGTGTGTGTGTGTGTGTATGTGTGTGTGTGTGTTCTTGTTGTTCTTCCTGTGCAGCTCGTTCTTCCTCTGTCCTCCTTCATCTCGCGCCACTGTTGCCTTGTCTCCGCTGACACACACACACACACACACACACACACACACTCTCTCTCTCTCTCTCTCTCTCTCTCTCTCTCTCTCTCTCTCTCTCTCTCTCTCTCTCTCTCTCTCTCTCTCTCTTTCTCTCTCAACACACACACACACACATACACACGCAACACGTCAGCAATCCGACGGCTGGGAGGAGTACTGGGATCTGGTGTTCCCGGACGAGGAGACGAAGCCGCACCTGAAACTGCTGCAGAAGGCGCAGGACTGGAAGCGGAAGATGATGGAGATGCAGCAGAAGAAGAAGTTGATGCAGCAGCAGGAGCAAGAGGAGGAGGAGGATGGGGACAAGGAGGAAGAGGAGGAGAAGAACGAAGAGAAGAAGGAACAGGAGGCGGAGAAGGACGAGCAAGGCGGCGAGGATGACAACAGCAGCAAGGCCGATGAGACAAGGAAGGGGGAAGACGGAGACGCAGGTGCAGCTGAGGGTGCGGCAGCTGCTTCCGCTTGACAGTCCTGTCATGTGAACTGTGGTGTTCTGTGCACTTGCTCATGTAGTTGCTTGGGAGCTTGTTCATGCCTGCGATGGAGATACACAACCATGACCCTTTGTGTTGTTGGTTTGTGTGACACCACTTGGTGTTGATGTGTGACCTTTCGTTTCGTTTACTGCTTAACGTTCGTTGAGCGAATCGAAATGCACAACAAACAGTCATCAGATGTATGCACACTCAAGCGACGTTGTCGGAAGCTATGCCTTATCTATCACACCCGCATACACACATACACACGTGTGTGCATCCACTCACACACACACACACACACACACACACACACACACACACACACACACACAAACCATGACTCAATGCATCCCTTAGACCCAGACATACATGCAATACATACACACATACACACACACACACTACAGCGTGGTATCGCCGTTGGTCATTGGATCACGGCCATCTGGCTCCAGCACCACCACGTTGTCCACCAAGCCAAGCGACTGGTTCACGTAGTAATCCTGCAAAATGCTGTCCTGTGACAGCCGCCGTTGCACCGTGCCCACAGACTGCCGCGAGAGCAGCGTGCCCATGTTGCTGCCGCTGTACACGACGTCCAAGCCCGCGCTGCACACCAGATCCGCGTCGTTTCCGCCATGGCGCATCCGCGTCTCCAAATCAGAGAACCCCGCAGCAAGCACAGCGAAGATGGGGCGATTGCTTGGTTTGTATGCCCACGTCTGCTGCATCAGGGCATACGCGCCGTCGGGACAGAACTTGGGCTGTGCCAGCTTCTTGCCGCTGTTCACAACAAGTTGCTCCACTTGCTCGTTGCTCATGCCAGCATAGGGCGTCTACAATGAAGGAGGAAGAGAGCGAGGAAGGCATGAGGTGGTGGTGAGAAACGTGAAGATCATAAAGTGGGGTATTGTGTTGTGGAATAACAGGCTAGGCGCACAAGAAGAAACACAGCAGCATACCACCGCGACACACACACACACACACACGTACACACTACGTCATACACACACACGCACACGCACGCACACACATACTACGTCATACACACACGAAAGAACGACTGCATACCTGTGCATACGAGAACATTTCGAAGCACGTCACGCCAAAGCTCCAGACGTCGGAGGCGTGCGTGTAGAAGTTTGCTGTGAGCACTTCGGGTGGCATCCAGCGGACGGGCATGACAGAGCGGTCGTGAACAGCTGTTGGCGCCTCGTCGTCCGTGCAGAAAGCGCGGCCGAAATCACAGATCTTCACGTGCCACGTCGCAGTCACTGGTGACATGGAGGATATGGGGTTGCGGTGTACGCGTGTTGGTGAGCAGGCGCTGGTGCGTACATGCAAGGCGGATACAACAACAACAACAATGAAAACAACAATTTAAACAACAGCTTGGGCCACCGTGACGCGTATTGTCTCACGCCACGCGTCCAACCAAAGCAATGCAGAACAGAACAAACACCAACTCACCGAGGCAGTTGCGGGCGGCCAAATCGCAGTGGACGATGTTGTTGTCGACGAGATGGTTCATGCCGCTGGCAACATCGCGCGCAAACCCGAGCAGCCGGTGCAGGGCGAGCACGGACGGCTTGTTCTTCACGGGTCTGGTGGGGTGACGAAAGAGGGCGTGAGCGATCGAGCAGCAAACCAAGTTGAAGAAGTTACACGCAACGCACCTGTGCAAACATTGAACAAGCAATGCAAAAGCAAGCGCATGTCATACATACTCACACAATACGCACACACACGTACTCACAAGCACACATCATATTGCACGCTGTGCCCTCACTTGTTGTCGTGGAGGACAGTGCGGAGGTTGCCACGAGCAACGAGTTCCGTGACCATCATCAGGGGCTCCGATTGTGTGACTTGACCCATCAACCCAAGCACATTCGGGTGCCGCGGGTACGTCAACTGTGATTGGAAAGAGATTGAAGAAGGCCAGTCACGATGGTCATCCAACGGAAGGCGAGCAAGATCCGCGACACACACACACACACACACACACAACACACACAACACACACACAATAACACACACAAAACACACAACATACACAACACACACACACAATAACACACACAAAACACACAACATACACAACACACACACCACTGACGCACCGTCTTCATGATCTGCATTTCCTTGAGGAATGCGCGTTTGGCCTTGGTGGTCACGTGCGATCCCTGGCAAATCTTCACGGCCACGTTGCGCGGGACACTGCTGCCGAGGAGATCCGTGCCCGTGCCGGCGTACACCTCACCAAAGGCACCCGCGTCCACCATGCGTGTCGTCTCAATCTGATCGCGCAGGATCTCGTACTCGTCTGGCACGGGCCGCTTGAAGCCGTACAGGCGCGCAAGCAGCACCTCCTTGCGACGGAGCGCAATGACGCCGAGCACAACAATCAGCATGGCGCCGCAGCCGGCAATGGCAAGCGGAAGGATGAGGGTGCTGGTGGTGCTGGTGTTGCCCTGTGATGAGGAGGGGACCTGCGGGGCCACGGCGGCGGCGTACTCGCCCCAGCCAGCAGCCGTGCGGCCGCGAACGCTCAGCACCGCCGCCAGCGGCATGCGCACATACACGGTCGTGTTTGTGCCAGAATACACAACCACAGATGAACCCTCTGATGCTGATGGTGTTGCAGACACTGCCGATGCTGTGGTGTTGCTGCTGCTCACGATCACCTCATACTCTTCCAAGAAGCCAAGGTCCTCAGAGGGCTCTCCCCATGACACCTCGACCACCACCATCTCCGCAGCCCCTTCATCGGAACCGGTCGTGACTGCCGCTGTTGTTGTGGCCTGTTGTGCGCCCGCTGCGTTTGCGTTGGCACCAGCACTCGGGCCAATCTCCAAAGCCGCCGTCAGCACCACGGTGCCTGCAGGCACTGAGCCCGTGTGCACGACCGCCCGAAGCCGCTCAGGTGCCAGCGGCTGTGCGGGGTTGGTTTGGAAGTGCAGGGCAGTCGCCATTGCCGTGGACGCAAATCCGGCTGTTGTGCCCGGGTGAATGCGCGCCCTGTAGCGGCGGTGTGGGTGCAGGTCAGCGATGGTCGTGTCCACAAACACATCCGGGTTATTGATCTGTGCAGCCGCGCTGTTGGCCAGGCGAATGCGGCGGGCAGACAGCTGCGTCCACTCCCCATCATCGCCAGCAGTGGTGGTGGTGGTGGTGGTATCGTCCGGCCGTGGCACACGCGCTTCCTCCAGCGTCACCAGTACCTCCTCCACGATGCCGTTGGCCTCAATCGGGATCTGGCCGCGGATGCTGATGCTGGTGGCAGTGAGGGCGGACGTCTGCACGGACCGAAGAGGGGACGAGGGGGCAGCGGGTGGGGTGCGCACGTACGAGAGCGACCGCTCCGTGGGCACAATGCCGCCGATGAGACGAACAGAGACAAGGTACAGCTCAAACGGCTTCACGCAGTGCTGCACCAGCTGCGAGTTGGAGGATGAGGACGAGTCTGTGCCGAAGCGAAGGGCAGTGATGCACCCGCCAACGGTGATGTTCTTGGCTGCGGTGCTGGGCACGAGCCACTCGCGCGCGGCTGATCGCGATGACGACGATGATGCTGACGATGAAGATGGTGCCAGCAGCTCTGTGTCGAACGGGGCGTTCTCTGGGTCATCGCGCGCCGCCTGGTATGCGCGGCTCGGTGCATACAGCTGCACCAGCACGTTGTCGTGGGGCACGTCCGTGTCCCAGCCAAGGTCGATGCTGGTGCCGCTCGACTGCTGCACACGGGAGTGCACGCGCAGGTGGTCTGGGCTGGCGAGGGGCAGGGTTGCAGACACGATGTTGCTCTCGACAACAGGGCTGGCGACGTCACCAGCGTGCACGTACGCGAGCAGCTTGATCTCGTAAGGGACGCCCCGCAGCATGCACACGCCACTGCCGCCAGACTGGTCGTCGTCATCGGAAGTGGCAAACAACACGGAGGACGTTGTGGTCGATGATGACGACGATGAGGAGGATGAGCAGGCCCGGATGAAGGCGTGGTTGCCGTCGACGGGGACGGACTGCCATGGCAGCAGCGTTTGCAGCAGTGCGACAAAATTCGAGTGGGTGATGGCAACAGATGCGCCGAGGTTGGTGTTGAGCCAGGCGTAGAGCTCTCGAAGCTCTTGTGCAATACCCAATGACTCTGCCGAGGTTGTGATGCCAACACGTGATGATAATGACGACGACGACGACGAGGAGGAGGAGGAGGAGGAGGACCCAGCGTGAGCATTGCCGTTACCGCTGTTGAGGTGGAGGATGGTTCGAGCCAGGCGGTCAGCGTCTGGACGAACAAAGACGACGTTTGTGGTTGTGACATCGGAGGTGTTGGTGCCGGGTGATGTGGGGCCGCGCCAACGCAGTTCCGTGGAGAAGGGCCGGACAACCGGCGGGAGGAGGCGAAGCCTGAGCCCCATGCCGTTGGACGGATTCGTGGTCACCTCAAGGTCGGTCCTGCTGTTCTGGTCAAACGCACCGGAGAGGAGGTTGGCGGCGCCGTACGCGTTGATCTGCTCCGTGGCGAGCTGGACCGCAGCGACAGACGCCTCCGCCTCGACCACCACCGCCACCTGCTGGCCCTGGTGGTCCACGGAGAAGCCCACCGTCGTCTCGTTAAGGAGCGAAAACAGCGCGCTGAGGTCTGGGTTGGTGCTGACGACGCGCGTGTACGCGTCCATGAGGTACGACTGCAGCACGCCCGGGTCGGCGCGTGTCACCAGCTTCAACTCCTCCAGGGTCAGGTCAAATGTGACCTCCGTGCGCAGGGTGGTGATGGTGGTTGATGCCGCATCGCCACCGCTGCCTCCACCTTCGCCGTCGAGGACAAGGCTCGGGTTGTTCGCCTGCGTCGTGCCGTGCTGTGTCTGCAGGTTCGGCAGGCTGATGGAGATGAGGTTGGGGTTGTTGGTGATGACGAGCGAGGCTGCAGATTCGAGTTCCGGGAGCAAGGCGTCGAGGGTGGTGAGGCTGCGCACGCCATCGACGACCACGTCGCCCGTGACGGCGGTGACAGACGCCAGCGCATCGGTGAGCACGGCGAGGGCGCCGGACGAGAGGTCGGTGACAATGAGGTCGCCCTGGATGATGCTGCAGTCGCGCTCCAGCAGCGCGCGGGCAGCGGTGGTGGTGGTGATGGGCTCCTCCAGCGTGCACACCTGCGGGCAATCCGTGCACTGGGAGGCGCACACGCCATCGCCAGCACTGCCGAGGCCAGCAACGTCCTGGGAGAGGGTGGCGTTGTGGAGGAAGCACGACGGGCACGATGGTGCGGTCTGCAGCGTGAGGCGCGGCTCCACCGCCCACCAGTAGGGGGCGGTGGTGTTGGCCGGGGTCAGCTGCTGCTCAGCCTGCAGGCAGAAGTCGGCGTTGTCCGTGATATCGATGTCGCCGTTTTGCACAAGAGCGACGAGGTCGTGGAGTGGAAGCGCTGTCGATGCCGTCATGTTGGCGTTGGAACGCAGCACGAGTCCAAAGGTGTCTGCAAACCTGTCGGATGCGAGCGGCGTGGTGGCGATGGCGGTGATGTGCTGCAACGCGGCAAGATCGAGGTTGCTCACGTCCTCAACGACCAGGTACTTCTCCACCACACGCAGGGACGCGAGCGCAGAGGCGAGGTCGAGCTGCGACGCGTCAATGTCGCGGATGATGAGGCCTCCAAGCACGTCGACACACGCCAGGTTCGCAAACAGGGCCAGGGTGCGCGCATCGCTGATGATGAAGGGGTCGGGCAGGGTGGAGCACGCCAACGTGAGCTCGCAGCGGGTGCCGAGCGTGTTGGGCGGGCACTCGCACGTGAATCCGCCGATGGTGTTGGTGCAGACGCCGCCGTTGTCGCACGCCGCCAGACGCGTGGTGGTTGTGGTGGTCGTGGTGGCGGAGGTGAAGGTGGACGACAGGAGGAGCTCGGCACCATCGATGAGCGTGTTGGTATCTGTGAACTGCACCAGCAGCGCACCCACCTCGCACTCGTTGATGTCCTCGTCACAGTGGTCGCCCGCGAAACCGACCGTGCACGTGCATGTGTATCCGCCAAAGGTGTTGGTGCAGGTGCCGTGGTCCCCGCACAGGCTGATGCCAGCGCTGTCTGCGCGTGCGCACTCGTCCACATCATCTGCGCACGTGCTGCCCGTGAGCCCATCAGGACACTGGCACGTGAACCTGTCAGGGAGGGAAATGGGAGACGCTGTGGTTGCTGCCACCTTCCCTGTCTTTGTGGATGTCGGGGTGGTGGTGCGGAGGGTGGTATCGGTCAAAGTGCCTGTGATGGGGTCGAGGGACCGAGCGCTACGGGCAAGAGTGTCGATGACGCACACGCCGCCGTTCTTGCACGGCGACGGTGAACACGACGGCAGGTCGTTGCATTCCTCCTCCTCGTCGACACCGATGGTGCACTGGCACGACGACCCAAAGTAGCCGGCTGGGCAGATGCAGGCGAGGCCTGTCTCCAGCTCCACGCAAGTGCCGCCCTGCGCACACCGATGCGATGCGCAGGACGGTGTGGTCGTTGTTGTTGTAGTTGTGGTTGTGGTTGTCGTTGTTGTTGTGGTCGTTGTTGTGGTTGTTGTTGTGGTCGTGGTAGTGGTGGTGGTAGTTGTGGTGGTAGTTGTCGTGGTAGTTGTCGTGGTGGTAGTTGTCGTTGTGGTCGTGGTGGTAGTTGTGGTGGTAGTTGTGGTAGTTGTGGTGGTGGTAGTTGTGGTGGTAGTTGTGGTAGTTGTGGTTGTGGTTGTTGTTGTGGTGGTCGTGGTTGTGGTTGTTGTTGTGGTGGTCGTTGTTGTGGTGGTCGTGGTTGTGGTAGTTGTGGTAGTTGTGGTAGTTGTGGTTGTGGTGGTAGTTGTGGTTGTGGTGGTAGTTGTGGTAGTTGTGGTAGTTGTGGTAGTCGTGGTCGTGGTAGTTGTGGTTGTGGTGGTAGTGGTTGTTGTTGTATCACATGTTGTGTATGCGAAACCAATCTCGTAGATGAAAATGGCTTCCTGGTTTCCCAGAAACTCTTGCACCATGCGTACGCGCAGCCGCGTGTGTGACGTCAGATACTTGCTGTCGAGCACGTCTGCGAAGAGCGTTGTCGTGCTTCCAGTGGCGCCCGTAATGACAGTAAACACCTCGTATGTCTTGCCGTCATCTGCAGAGATCTCCACGTTGATGACGTCGTGGCTTTCAACCAAACCATAAAAGCTGTAGCGAAGCCCAAGGTAGACCGTGCCTTGTGTCCATGTTGACAGGTCCACACGCCGGTGCACATATGGCAGCCGGGATGGATCTGTTTCCAGGCCGGGGTTGGAGAGGACGAGATGCTCGTTGGCCACGTAGGCTTGGCCAGAAGAGTAGCCGCCATTGAGGGTGTCGTGCTCCGACCACTTATCACCCCAGTTCACATTGCCGTCGCTGCCATCGTATTTGCCGGAGTAGAAGTCATCGTACTTGTAGACGGTGATGCATTCACCAGTGGCTGGGGCAGCCAGGGTAGCGAGCAACACGCCCAGTACCAGCACGATATTCATTCGTGCTTGTGATGTGATGATTCCGAGCATCCGCCCGGTGCCGTGTTGTTGCTGCGAACTTGGATTCCCTGAGCAAAGAAAGCACACCATACAAACACTCGCAACAAGTCTGCGTGTGTGTGTGTTGGGGGGGGGAGGATGTAATGAAGGTGTGGAAGCAACGGTGAGTTTGTGCTTGTGGTTGTGGTTGTGGTTGCGTTGTCGTTCGTGGGATGCGACAGACGACGCTTGTCGTTCGTTGTTGTTTGGTGCTTGCTGCTTGTCGTCTGTTTGTTGGTGGGTGGTCTTGGGTATGTATGCACGAACGTATGTGTGTGTGTGTGTGTGTGTGTGTGTGTGTGTGTGTGTGTGTGTGTGTGTGTGTGTGTGTGTGTGTGTGTGTGTGAGCAACGACAACACCACGCTCGAAAAGACACCAGACCGTCCCGCCGTACCTTGCTTGCTTTGATTGAAGCTCACGCACGCGCAAACACAATCAACAATGGAAGAGAATGGTTGTGGTTGTGCGCTGCTGCGAGGGAAACGAACGAAGAAGTGAAGAAGAAGAAGAAGAAGAAGAAGACCAAACAACAAACAAACAACAAGTGCGCAGCAGCACGTAACAGACAGCCCGTCGTCAGTCAGGGCATGGTCAGGCGATGTGTGAGCATGACTGTTGTGGTGGTGCAGCACGTTGGAATGCAGTGTGGCTGACGACATAAAGTCATGCATGCCTTGAGAGAATCGGGCCTGTGCCTTGAATGTTCGAAACAGCTCCTCCCTGACCAAACACCAAATGGCAAAATAAATTAAACCAAACGAGGTGGGTAAAACAAAGTCTGGACAATTTGCGAAAGAACCGCACCGAAAGAACCACCAGGAAGAGCTGCTGTGAGTGAGTGGAAGGAAGAACGACAACGCACCAAGCAAGCAACCATGGCTGAGGAGCGCTTTGATGGCCTGCTGTTGAGCATGGCTCAGCAGATGGAAGGGGGCATCGACCAAGTACGTATGTCTGTGTCTGTATGTGTTTGTGTGTGTCTGTGTGGTCTGTATGTGTCTGTGTGTCTGTGTGTGTGTGTGTGTGGTCTGTATGTGTCTGTGTGTGTGTGTGTGTGTGTGTGGTCTGTATGTGTCTGTGTCTGTGTGTGCGGCTGTATGTTTGAGCGTGTCTCCGTGTCTCAAGCTCTTCCCTCTTCCCCGCACCTCTGCTTTGTGTACATCCCACCTTCAACTCGCCTGGCTCGTTGCCTGCACTCTGTTTGCTTCAGCTGTTGGACGTCTACTTCAGCTTCCTGCTTCGCAAGACAGACTTCTTCACTGGCGCGTCCAAGGAGCACGCAAAACAGGCATGTTCATGTGCATGGTTGTGCGTTTGTGTGCGTGCATGCGTGCGTGTGTGTGTATGTGTGTGTGTGTGTATGTGTGTGTGTGTGTGTGTGTGTGTGTGTGTGTGTGTGTATGTGGTGTGTGTGTGTGTGTGTGTGTGCATCTGCGGAAAGGGACGGTGCTGAAGACAGCATCGCGCTTGCAGCCCCGCTTGCAAGCCGACATGGTCTTGCCACTGAATGCCGCTTGCTCACACAAGGTCCGCCACGTCCACTGTCACATGCAGCTGGTCATGTCCAAGTTTGAAAAGTACAGCAAGATTGCAGAGCAGAAGAAAAAGGAAAAGCAGCAGGAGGAAGAAGACGACGCAGAGGAGGAAGAGGTTGTCCTGCCTGACGACGGGTGCGTCTGTGCGAAGTGTGGGCCGGAGGGAGGGAACGATGCATTCACACGTGTGTGTATTTGAGGGCAATGTGTTCGCATGTGTCTGCGCAAAAAGTGTGACAGTGGAGAAAGTGAGCTCGCACATGGGGGTGCAAAAATCGGTTTTCACCCTGCTGTGCAGTGTTGGTCGGTACGTCAGTGAACACAAACGCACACTGAATCACGCAAGCCATGCCCACGGCACCACACCTTGCGTCTTCGTGCAGCTCCAAGATCCAGGAGCTGACGGACGAGCAAGCAGCCAAGCTGGAGCAGCAGCTGAAGAAGAAGGAGGACAAGAAGCAGCACACGAAGAAGCAGCCAGCCACCAGCAGTAGCAGCGAGGCCAAGGCTGCAGATGCGTCGAGTGCGGCGAAGAAGAGCAAGTCCACGGCCACGCCGCTGCCCAACGCAGCAAACCCAGACGACCTCTCTGCTGAGGACTCGGGCGACGAGGTGGTGCTGGGAGCGTGTAGCATGGGGGGCCTTTTGTGTGTGTGTGTGTCTGTGTCTGTGTCTGTGTCTGTGTCTGTGTCTGTGTCTGTGTCTGTGTCTGTGTGCGTCTGTGTGTCTGTGTTTGACTCTCCACTTGTGCTTACACCTGCGACAGTGTCTGTGTGTCTGTGGCTCTTCATCTATGCTATTGCACATGTTTACTGCAAGCACCTTGTCGCTCACATGACTTGAATGTGTTCCGGTCTCCTCCCCCCCCCCCCATTCTCAAGGATGGCGATGGCAACAAGCAGCCCAACGGAAAGCTCCGCCCAAACACGGGCAACGGTGCGAACCTCCCAAACTACTCCTGGATCCAGACCCTCCAGGACCTCGAGGTGTGCATGCGAATGAACGTGTATTTGCACATGGGTGAGCATATGTGTGTGTGTGTGTGTCGCCCGTCCTCAACCCGCCTGCATCTATGTATCATGTTGCTTACTCAGTGCCACCACCACCACCACCACCACCACCACCACCACCACGACAGGTGCGGGTGCCGCTGAAGGTTGATTTCAGGGTGAAGGGCCGCGATTGCGTCGTCGACATCAAGAAGAACGTGAGCCCACACCACACCACACGCGCACCCCCATGTACTCTGAACACACGTAATGTTTGGTTGCTTGCTGTCCGGGTGGCGCCTGACGCCTGAGCACACCGTCCATCCTCACACGTGCATCTTTCACCTGCGCACCGCTGTCATCATCACCGCCATCACAACAATTACCACCGTCATCACCACACGACCACGACCAAGTCGCTGAGCATTGGGCTGAAGAACCAGCCGCCAATTCTGTCTGGCAAGCTGCCGCACCCAATCCACCCGGACGAGAGCACGTGGGTCCTCGACAACAACACCATCACCGTCCAGCTCGAGAAGGTGTCGTGTGTGTGTGTGTGTGTGTGTGTGTGTGTGTGTGTGTGTGTGTGTGTGTGTGTGTGTCTGTGTGTGTGTGTGTGTGTCTGTGTGTGTGTGTGTCTGTGTGTCTGTGCCTGTATGTGTGTGTCTGTGTGTTCATGTATGTGTTTGTGTGTGTGTGCATCGGAGCTTCGCTCGTTTGCACCACGGCTGCCTTGTTATGTGTCACCTTCGTCTGCTTGCCACCTTCGTGTGTTTCCACACATCGCCAACTCACTCGCCCACAACACAACACGCCCCTGATCCCCACCACAACAGGTGAACCAGATGGAGTGGTGGCCGCACGTGGTTGTGGGCGAGCCCGAGATCAACACGCGCAAGGTGCAGCCGGAGAACTCGAAGCTGTCAGACCTTGACGACGAGACGCGTGGCATGGTTGAGAAGATGATGTTTGACCAGCGGCAGAAGGAGATGGGCAAACCCACGTCCGACGAGCAGAAGAAGCTGGACATCCTCGAAAAGTAAACACTGCCGTTTTGTTGTTAGCGGCGGTGGTGGTGGTGGTGGTGGCGGCGCATGTGTGTTTGTCGATGTATGTGTGTTTTTGTGTGTCTGTACGTGTATGTCTGTGTCTGTGTCTGTGTGTTGTGTGCACATCCTGTCTGTTTGTCCTCTTGTCTGCCCCTCCACCAAACAACTGCGCGTCCTCCGTCCTCACCACCATCGCCACCACGCAACATCGCCACCAGAATCAAGAAGGCCAACCCTGAGATGGACTTTTCCAACGTCAAATTCTCCTGAGCAAAAGCCGACGCTGTGTGTGTGTGTGTGTGTGTGTGTGTGTGTGTGTGTGTGTGTGTGTGTGCGTATGTCTGTCTGTCTGTCTGTCTGTCTGCCTATCTGTCAGGTTGACATGACTGGTGGGTTCGTTTGCAAAGAGTATATTGACAACCGTGATCTTTGCTGTGCAAGTCAGGTGTACCGACACACACACACGCACACATTTACACACACAATTAATACGCCCCCACGCACACACACATCTTCAATAAGATTCATGCCAAGCACGTGTCGAGATGTGCATTGATGGTGGCCTCTGTGCACTCGCAACCACACGCCGGGCACACAACCCGCCCTGTTGCTGCTGGTGGTGGTGATGATGTCGATGCATGCGGCATGCTGTGCCCATCGTTGATGTGGTCTCGTGTGAGATCACCAGCATTTGCACTGTAACCACTACTCTCTCCATCATCGTCGTCATCGTCTAATACTATTATTCTGTCCTCCTCTTCCTCCTTAATCTCTTCTGTTATCCTCCACCCCACTGCACCCTGTGCACCCGCAGTTGTTGTTGTTGATGTTGTTGTTGATGATATTCGTGCGGTTGTTGTTGGGGCTGGTGGTGTTGTTGTGCTACCGCTGGTGTGTGCGCGTGCTCTGGTGTCCGCACCAAACAGCGTGGCCAGCAGCACTTCCTCTTCGCTTTTCGTCAGCACGTGTGACGATGATGAGGACGAGGATGAAGATATTGCTGCTGTTGCTGTTGTTGTTGTTGTTGTCGCTGTTGTTGTTGCTGTTGTTGTTGCTGCTGATTTTGATGAGGACGATTGTTGCGATGACGATTGCGACTGGGGCTCTCGTTTTGCCTGTGAGCAGCGTGGCAGACAGCACGTCAGCAGCCAGCACACACACATGCACATGCACACATGCACGCACACGCACGCACGCACGTGCACACGTGCACACGCACACACGCACACACGCACACACGCACTGCGCACCTTGAGGAAGCGATCGAGTGCCGGCTGATTCGTGTCTCGCTTTCGTTTCGCGCCGTCGTCGCCATCGTCGCCTTTCTTCGCCTTCTTCCTCTTCTTCTGGCCGTATCCCTCGGGCTCACGGACCTGCGAAATTGGGCCAGCGTGAGATTGTGGCGGGAGGGACAGGGAGGGAGACAAGGCCGAGGGCAGACTGGGAAACAACATGAAGACAGGGAACGTAAGTTCACACCTATGTTTGGTGAATAACCACACACACACACACACACAAACACACGCACACATGTATCCAACACACACACACACATGCACCCACCTTTGTGTATGTTCCACCGCACTGGCGCTGGTGCTGGCTCCACCACGGGTCGCGCGGAGATGGGGCGCGGTTCATTGCGCGCTTGACCAATCCAAAGTACGGCGGCTTGCGGGCACAGGGGCCATCGCACTTCCACCAGTGCGTGCGATACATGTCGACCTCGTCGTGGAAGCTGTGATACACCGTGATGCTTGAGCCGCTCGCATCGTTGATCCGCTAAGCAGCAGCAGCGGCAGCAGCAGCGTGGTGCAGTGGTGTGGCGAAGAAACGGGTGAGGACAACACTGACAGCACACACATGCGCAGATAACATGCACACATGAGGCACCCGCAGCTGATGCAGCACAGAGAGAGAGAGAGAGATAAAAAGAGAGACGCAGACACACAGACGCAGACACACAGGACGTACACACACAGACACACACACAGACACACACAGACACACACGCGTGCGCATAAAGCACACTGCATTGACAGACCTTCATGTGAGAGAGAAAGTTTGGGCCGTGGGCGTCGTGGTCGCGGTTACGCTCGCGCAGGAACAGGAAGGCTGACTCAGTGAAAACGCGAGCAGAGAGAGGGCGCACGTCAGCCCAAACGAGAAAGCGCAAAAGAGAGAAAGTGGTCCTTGCAAAGATGCCACGAAGCCACGCAAACAATGCAGCAATGAAGCGAGTGGTCGCTTGTATCAACAGCAGGGCCGTGCATACCGTGTATCATTTCGTGCAACAAGGTGTTGACGAGGTCAGACCTTGGTCTCAGCTTCAACAGCGGCTGTATCGCAAGTAACGCGACGCAGTGGACACGAAACATACACGCATTGTGTGTGTATGCATGTGTGTATGCATATGTGTACGCGTGCGTGTGTCAGCGTTCACGAGTGCCCTGTACAAGCAACGCCAAAGCCCTCTTGTACGCTAACCACACACACACACACACACATTTCCATACACACACGCTGACAGGCACGCACTGCTTTACCTCGGAGAGGCGCACGGAGACGAGCTGCCCGTCGTACACGCAGAGGCCGGCGCATAGCGTCATGCGCTTGCTCCATTTCACCTCAATGCCCGCCAGCACGCCGAAGAAGAACAGCTTGTTGAACATGAGAAACAGCTCGTGGATGTTTGGGGTGGGGTCAATCGTCTCCCATGCCGGGTCAACCACAGACATGCCCGCTGGCAAGGCCTGGAACCGCACTAACCCTGCCTTTGTTCCATCCTTCCCCTCCTCCTTCCCACCGTTTCTCCCTCGTGGTGGTGGTGGTCGCGGTTGTCGTCCACTCATCACCACCGTCCCGTGCGTGTTGTGCGTTGTGCGTGTCGCTGCTCGCCAGCCGACAAAAACAAGTCCTGCGGGGGCGAACGTTGTGAAATGCACTTTGTGCTGTCGTGCACGTTTGTTTGGATTGATCGGACGGCGGACTGCCACTGCCAACCAAGATGATGACCAACCTTCACTGTTGGCGAGCATTGGCCCTTGTTGTCGCCACTGTGGCCGCTGTTGTCGCTGCCACAGTAACTGGCGCTGAGGGTGTGTGGGAGGGCCCGTCCGTCACCATTCAGCCATGCACGACGAAACGCGCCGCTTACCAGCAATGGACGCGCGGCCCAAAGAATGAAATCGTGCTCAAGGTGTGCTGTTGTGGTGTGCGACACGACACGAATGCTGTGCTGCTGTACCCGTTTCTGTCACTGTTTTGCTGTCCTTGTCACTGTCCCTGTCACTGTTGCTGCTGTAGCTGCTGCTCTCGCTTTCACTGTCCCTGTGTCACTGTTCCTGTCGCTGTTTCTATCACTGTTGCTGCTGTCGTTGCTTCTATCGCTGCTGCTGTGGCTGTGTCTTTTCCTGTCATACACACCCTCACTTTCCTCAATCGACACAACATGCGCCGCCACTCCACTCATTTCACTGCTTTCTTCATTGCACCACCTCCCAGTCCAATGGCTCCTGCTTGGATGTGCAAGGATACTCGACTGCAGGTTCGCAAGGTGTCCCCACTTTCCACACATGCTGTTGTTTGCAACCACTGCACGCTGAAATGACGACACTTGCACACGTGCTCGTCTTGCCCCCTCATGCTCTGACACCGGTGGTATGAAAACAGCACACCTCTTCATCCACTCCTGCAAAGTGTACGCGCGCACTTCGCACTCACGTGGTCCTGTCTTCCCTCTGTGTCATCTTTTCTTGGCCGTGCGCAGATCAAGCCACGGTGTACACGTTCTCGCCATGCCACCCGGACGACCCGGACCCCAGCCACCAGAATGAGGCCTGGAGCATCAACGCCAACGGAACCATCACAGAGCTCATGTCAGGCAAATGCCTCGACCGATCCCAATACGGTGTGTGTGTGTGTGTGTGTGTGTGTGTGTGTGTGTGTGTGTGTGTGTGTCTGTGTGTGTGTCTGTGTGTGTGTCTGTGTGTGTGTGTCTGTGTGTGTCTG